TTACTCTCAAAGGAAGTGATAGTGCCTCCAAAGAAGTGAAAATTGGTTCTGGGGAGGCAAAAAAGCCTTAACTATTACAATGGTTTGTGTCTCTCTTAAGCTCAACATCCAACAACATAAACAGATATACAGTATATCTGTGGTATTAAAATGTCATGGGGAGCATTAGGGAAAAAAAAAGTTTAAAAAGGCTCTTTAGGGGGGTAATAATGGAAAAAAAACCAGGAAACACTGCTGTAAGCCATATATAATTGTGGTGAAATCAAAACAAAATGATTTACTTAAAGTGATATTAAGCATTAAGTATATCACTATGATTGTTATTATTAATTTTATGTATACAGCACTGTACTAGGTACTGGAGCCCTGGTGGCACAGTGGTTAAGAGCTATGGCTGCTAGCCAAAAGGTCAGAAGTTTGAATCCACCAGCTGCTCCTTGGAAACCCTATGGGGCAGTTCTATTCTATCCTATAGGGTCGCTATGAGTCAGAATCGACTCAACAGCAACAGGATTTTATTTTTTTAAACTAGGTAGCAGGAAATATAAAGATGAATAATATATTATCCTTGACTTGGAGAAGCTTAGAGATAGAGTCAAAATTAAAACTTTTTTCCCTAAGAATTTCCAAGTGAATGGAAGAATATACATATATCACCAGGCTGAGATGCAAGAAACGAGGAATTTTTGTTTTATCAACAATGGGAAAAATCGTCACAGGAAATGGAGGTGGAAAAGGAAAGTTTGGGGATACAGCCTGTTCTGCTACAATGTGTGTTTCTGTAACAGGAATTAGCTTATATGAGATCTAAAAGCAAGGGGAAAATGTCAATATGATGTTGAAGTCATTTTTGTTCTTTAGTACTGCTACTCAGAATGTGGTCCTTGGACCAGCACCATCAGCATCATTTGGGAGCTTGTTAGAAATGCAGAATTTCAGACCACCCCCCACCCCACCCAGGACTACTGAATCAGGACTTGGATATTAACAAGATCCAAAAATTATTCCCAAACACATTAAACTTTAGAAAGTTTCCTGAGGCAAAGGGCATTGTTTAAGGCTTCCAAGGCAAAAGAGATTGTTTCTATCACCAAGGCTTTGGTGATAGAAATGATGCTGGAGATTGCGTGATAGAATTTTGCAAGACCAGTGGCTTCTTCATTGCAAATACCTTTGTTCAACAACATAAACGACCATATACACGTGGACCTCACCAAATGGAATACACAGAAATCAAATCAACTGTATCTGTGGAAAGAGATGATGGAAAAGTTCAGTATCATCAGTCAGAACAAGGCCAGGAGCTGACTGTGGAACAGGCCATCAATTACTCATATGCAAGTTTAAGCTGAAGTTGCAGAAAATTAGAAAAAGGCCACAAGAGCCAAAGTACCACCTTGGGTATATCCCAGCTGAATTTAGACACCATCCCAAGAATAGATTTGACACATTGAACACTAATGACCAAAGACCAGATGAGTTGTAGAATGACATCAAGGACATGATACATGAGGAGAGCAAGAGATCCTTAAAAAGACAAGAAAGAAAGAAAAGATAAAAATGGATGTCATAAGAGACTCTGAAAGTTGCTCTTGAATGTTGAGTAGCTAAAGCAAAAGAAGAAATGATGAAGTAAAAGAGCTGAACAGAAGATTTCAAAGGGCGACTTGAGAAGACTGAAGTATTATAATGAAATGTGCAAAGACCTGGAGATGGAAAACCAAAAGGAAAGAACACGCTCGGTGTTTCTCAAGTGAAAGAACTGAAGACAAAAATCAAGCCTCAAGCTGCAGTATTGAAGGATTCTATGGAGAAAATACTAAACGATGCAGGAAGCATCAAAATAAGATGGAAGGAATACACAGAGTCACTGTACCAAACAGAACTGGTCGATGTTCAACCATTTCAGGAGGTAGCACATGATTAAGAACTGATGATACTGAAGGAAGGGGGTCCAAAGGGCACTGAAAGTATTGGTGAAAAACAAGGCTCCAGGATTTGATGGAATACCAA